ATTTGAAATTTTGCATACATACTCTTGAGAACTTTAGTCACAATTTGATGGAATTTATTTGTGTTTTATTATGTACGTTTTTGCGTAATCAATTGTTTTGTGGTAACCGAAATTTTTGTCCAGGGAGTGTATTTCTCATGACCTTTAACACACTAAAAATTTATTAGCCAAACAAACATGGTGCAATGTATAAAAAATATTTACAACTTTAATAACAATTTCACTAAACAAATGTCAAAAGAAATAAAGGTTTAAATAGAATTTTCGAATTGACTTTAAAACCTTTATGTTTATTTTTTGGTTTTCAACGAAATTCTTAAAAATCTTGTTACACGTTACAAAAATGTAAAATTCATTGAAATGCAATTAGTTTGAATGAAATTTTCTTATATTGATATTGCAAATATTTTTACACATTTTGTTTGGTTAATAAAATTTTAGTGTATAAAGGTCATGAATTTTAAAGTTCATATGATCTCATAGTGAATGAATATATTTATTATGAACAATTTTCATGTGAAAGAAAATATAATTAACACAAGGTCATAAGATGAATGAATGAACAAAATTATTATCATGAATAATTTGATCTTTATAAATACAATGATTTTTCTTGTAAAAGAAAATCAACATGAATTTTTACATATTGAAATATATTATTTTTCCTGTCAATACAGTGCTTATTTTTTGCCTTTTCTGATTTGTAGGTAAATCAAGCATGAACGTGATACCCTTGAATTTTGAAGAATTTGAAGATGATTCATTCTACAGCATAGGAGGTGTAGATGCAGGTTCACATTTTTCAATTTCTACTCTATCTTCTAATGACCAAAAAAAAAAAAAAAGGTAAACAAAAAACAAGTTTCATTTGGAATCATTGCCATACAATTGAAAATGGGTGGGAGTGTATTGTTAAAAAAGAGGATGGCGAACCTTGTGGGATGAAATTTCTTTTTGAACATACCAAAGGCTCAACATCAAATACACTACATCATTTGCAAAATGATCACAATTTGTTAAGACCAGAACTTAGTAAAAAGGTATTTATTTATATCATTATAAAATACATTTTTAATAAATTTACAATTTGTTTGATTTTATAGTGGGTAGGTAATGATCAATTTACAGAAAACCAGCAAATCAATTCACAAAGAAGGTTGGTTGAGTATATAATTAATAGTGTCCAACCATTTAGCATTATTAACAACAAATCCTTTAGAAACTTTGTTAGTTCATTAAATCCTCACTTTCAGATCCCTTCATTGTTTACAATAAAACAAATGATGGCAGTTGCAACAAACAATGTAAATGAAAATCTAATGCATAAAATAATTGATAGCTGCAGATTCTGTTGTTTAACAACAGATTTTTGGACTTCAATTGATAACAAAGGGTATATTGGAATAACATGTTCATGGTTGGAGGATTTTGAGCCAGTAGAGGTTTTGTTAAATCTACTTTATGTACCACATCCACATACAGGTGAAATAATAAAAGAGCTATTAGTTCATGAAATTGAAAGATGGGGCTTAAATGAAAAAATTATTGCAATTGCAACAGACAATGGTAGTAATATGACAAGATCAATTAGACTTTTAGGTGAAGTAATGGAAGTTGAAAGAATCCCATGTGCTGCACACACACTTCAGCTATCAGTTAAAAAAGGGTTAAAAATAAATGATAACATTGAAATTTTAATATTAAGAGCTAGAAGATTGATTTTATTTTTTAAATCACCAAAACAATGGGAAAGGCTTGGAGAAGTTCAAAGACAATTAAATTATCCTCATATTCTCAAACCAATACTGGATGTAAAAACTCGATGGAATTCCACTTATAAAGCATGGGTTCGTTTACTTGATTTAAAGGATGCCATTAAAGAATTGATTAATAGAATGCAATTTGAAAGTGATAGAGATACTAAGTATGATGCTAAAAGATTGAAGAAAATCATGCTGAATCATCAAGAATGGACATTAATTAAAGAATTAGTGTTGATATTAAAAGACTTTAATGATATAACAACAACATTAAGTGGCAATAGTTTTGTAACATTATCTTTAGTCTATCCTACCATATCACACTTAATTAAAAAACTCCAATCACAAATTTCAGATAATAATGATGATTTTGAATCTTTTGACAAATTCATACCACCTGGCAATAGTAATGAAATTTTTGTTGGACTAAATAATGATGATAATGATGACAATGATGTTGATGAAAGTATTGATAATGCTTTTATGGAAACAGAAGGTAATTAAATAAATATATTTTATACACATTGTTGTGTGAGTTGTTGTGATTTTAAATTTGTATGCATGAAATTCAAATTAACCATATGTAGGTAATACAGAAGAAATAGAAATCCTTGAAGAATTATCAAATGGTGAAAGACATAAAAGGAGATTAAGAATTTCAGTGCCCATAAATACAGCTAACTTAAAAGATAAAGTCATTAAAGCTCTGTATAATTCCTTGATAAATTATTGGTCAATGCAAACATCAGCACTTGGCTATCTGGCTTCAGCTTTAGATCCTAGATTTAAAGATTTAAGATTTGCACCTGAACAACATGATGCAACATATCAAATACTATCTAATATCATTCAATCATTGAAAGATGCCAACCAAGAAAATTTATCAAATACTTCAAGAAGGTCAACAATTGCATTAACTCACCAAAATCCATTACAAAAAACTATATTTGATGATTTGTTTGATGTTCCACAACAACAAGAAGAAGATGAATTAACCAAATATTTAAATATGTCAAATGTAGCAGGTAATGTTGTTCCACTTGGTTGGTGGAAAGATAGACAAAATGAATTGTCAATGCTTGCAATATTAGCAAACAAGTATTTGTGTTTAAGTGCAACTTCAGTTCCATCTGAAAGATTGTTTTCTGATGTAGGAAACCACATAACACCTAAAAGAAATAGACTATCATCAAATCTAGTTTCAAATCTTTTGTTTTTGAAATGAAATATGGAGTCCATTTCTATTTTTGATTAATTTTAAAATTTTAATCAATTTATATTTTTAATCAATTTATATATTTGTTGTTTCTTAAATATTTTAGTTTTAAATTTAATGAACTTATTATTTTTTAAATTAAGAAAATTTATTAAATAAAATAAATTTATTTAATGATTTTTTAAATATATTCATGGCAAAAAATTATTAAAAATAATAAATAAAACGGATTTATTGGAATGCCGTCCAATCGTGTTCCGGGAATGTGACCTAACCTCATTGTTTTAGTTTTATTATTATTATATATGGGGCATGGACAATAGAAAAGGGTATAACTACCAAAATTGTGATTTTGAGTTAACAACATTCCTATGCGTAATTTACTACAAAGATTAATTTTAGCTTAGAAACCATACCCACTTTGCTTAATAAAATTTCGAGATAATTAAAGAAAACTGCAAGACGTACAAGAACCAACAAATTGGTATTATACTAAAACAAGTAATGATAAACCTAAATCCGGAATTTAGTTTAAATCATGTAACACGAATTTATTAATTTTTTTTTGTTATTATTATTATTATTTTTATTAAACGGAAAATAAAAACAAATAAAATTTTATCATCTAAAATTCACTTTTTCACAACACAAACAATTGAATCTGATATTTAAAAAATGACTTCTACACATTTATTTTTTAACAATATTTTTACTGAGACACATCCTAATTTAATTGACTTAGAAGAATCTTTTTGCTAATTTGAAAACAAGTTATATGCCTAATTTGATTATTAACAAAAATGAAGAAATAGTTGATGAAACAGAGATAAGTCATGATGAAGAAGAAGACAGTTGTGAAGCAGAAGAAAGTGATTATGAAATGGAAATGTTGTCTAAAGAACAATTAGAAAAATTCAAAAATATATACAATAAAAATAAAATAATGGATGACCAAATTATTGACTCTGAAGAGCAAATAGAAATAGATCATGATATCAACCATTATGTAGCAAATTTGCTAGAAAGAGATTGTTGTCAAAAAGAATGTTTGAAAATGAATTTAAATTTTAATGATGTTAAAACTAGATATAAATGTTTTCTTGATCTTAAAAAAACTGAACAAGATATTTTTTTAAAAGGTTTTCTTTCTGCTAGTTTGAGAAATGAAATAACTACTAGAGGAGAAAAAAGGAGAAGATTGGCAAATGTCTGTTCTTTTGGAGGAGTTGAAATTTGTCTGACTGCATTCATGGGTATCTATGGTATAGGTAAAAGAAGATGGGGAAATGTTAGAAATCATTTTAATGAGTTTGATATACAGCCAAGAACACATTCTTTAACAGGAAAAGTAGGTAATAAAGCAGTATCATTTGATGGGGTTTTGCAGATTATTAAATTTATATTAAATTATTCTAATACAAATGGACTCCCATCTCCAGGTAAATATAAATTATTTAAATTTGAAAAAGAAAAGTTTATAAATAATTAATTAATGTAAAATTTATTATATATAGGAAGAAAATTTAAAAAAGACACAAAGCCTATTATATTTCTCCCAGCAGATGAAAATCACACTACTGTATTTAAATATTTTATTGATGCAGTTGAAGAAAATTCTGAAATATATGTCTCAAATAGAACATTTCGAAGAATATGGCATACATATCTTCCAGAAATTAAATTTCTTACTCCAAGAAGTGATTTATGTCATATTTGCAAAGAACATAGGTTCAATGCAAATTGTTGGATGGAAGAAGAAAAGGAAATGAAGGTTAGAGAAATGGAATGATCATATTACATGGGCAATGAAGGAACGTGAATATTATAGGTATCAATCATGGTATATTTTTTTTCTTTTTTTTTTTGTTAAAGATTTTTGCTAAATTTATATGTTGATTTTTTAGAGATTGCATAAAAAATGCAAAGGAAGCATTTGAAAATTTAAATCAAGATTCAAATCCCACTAGATCTAGAAATTCACTTAATATTAAACTTCACATTTCATGGGATTTTGCAGAACAAGTTCATATCCCATATTCTTCACAACAAGTGGTATGCAATATTATTTTTATTTATATATAATTTTTTCAAAGGTAATGGATTTTAAATTGTGCTATTATAAATAATAGTCAAGTTCATATTTTAAATCTTTATATAAAGTTCAAGTATTTGGCATTTGTGAAGATTTTAGACCCAGACAGGTGAAATAATAATTCTTTTAATCAACTCTTTAAATTACAGTATATAATAACTATAATTATCATTTATTTAGATTAATTATCTTATAGAAGAATCACAGTATATTGGTAAAGGAGCTGATGCTGTGATTTCTTTAGTTCATAATTATTTTGAAAACAAAGTCTTGATGAAGAAGAAATAATAATTCATGCAGATAATTGTTCTGGTAAAATAAAAACAATGCAATGATTCAATATTTGGCCTGGAGAGTGTTAACAGGTAAACATAAAAGAATTACATATTCTTTTATGGTAGCTGGCCATACCAAATTTAGTCCTGATGGTTTTTTTAGATTGTTTAAATTGAAACTTAAAAATTCTGAAATTTATGATTTAGAGGACCTTGTTAATGTTGTAGAATCATCAACAAATGGGTACAATAATGCTCAAACAATTTATGATGAAAATGGTGAAAGAAAAGATCTTTTTCACAGCTGGACTGAATATTTAAGAAAATTTTTTAAACCATTACCAAATATCATCATTTTATTTTTAATCAAGAAGATCCAGGGATTGTATATGTTAAAAAAAATATTAATGGAGAACTTATAACTATAGACATAACTAAAAATTTTACCATGGATCCTGTTTTAGAAGAAAAACATCCTTTAGGTTTAACCCCTGAAAGACAAAGTATATACTTGAAAATGTTATTCAATATGTTCAAAATCCTGATAAAAAGGCTTTCTATCAATCATAGATTTTAATTTTATTATTATTTATCTTATTATTATTTATTTTATTATTATTTATTTTATTTATTATTATTATTCTATAGTGCAAGTCACTTAGTCCCACAACTTTCTGCGCCACACCGCCAATTTTGGGAAAAATTCCCAATCAAAATGCAATAAAAATTTTATGGTCACATGATTTTTGTTTGTTGTAAAATTCTTTTTTGATTCATGTCTGGGAAATT